TTATATTTAATGTCCGGAATTATTTAAAATTGTTGCATAGAGCTCTAGAACTTTTCAAGAGAGTATCAGAACTCTAAAAAAAATGTCACATTTTTAAATATGGTGTTCCAAGTTTACGCAAGTGAATTCTTCAGCCGTAAATACCGATGTCGTTGTATGCATGCCGTGACTGCGGCATACCATCGGTAAACAATCCGAAGAGTGGAAGCGACGATCGCGGGGGGCAACGACGGAGGCAACAATGGTCCTTTTTGCACGTGCGAGATCGCCTGCGGTGTTCAGGATCTCGCGTGTCCTTCATATCCAGGAAGTTGTTATGGATGCGCGATATCGGCCGTCTGAACCGGCCAGTCCATCAGAATGGTTCATCTATAATTACCGAGAATCACTTATCATAATAGCTAAAACGGGTGCTGCAAATTGCATAACACACGATGGCGAGTACATTCGGGCGGGAGACACGTTATTGACTTTAATTTCGTCGGGAAACGAATAATCGCATCGACAGAAAAGTATATTGGACGTATCGCGATAGGAAGTTTATAGTTAAGGTAATTGGCACATGTTATAGATTGTGTAGTATTGCGACAGGAAGGATGAGTGAAATCACGCTTCGTTTCTACGAAGAAAGAATTGCAGCACATATATTAATAATTATATAAAAAAAATATATACGTTCACACACACACACACACACACACATTCGCGCGCGAGCTAGGAAATCATGTCGTTAAGTAAAAAAAAGAAAAAGAAAAATTTGCACAGTAATTCTCGTTTCACCACAAAAGTGCGTTTGTATAAACCGTGCAGAGCCATCATTATTACGCTTGTAGCAGTAAAGACAAAATCTTAGAGCCACAATTGCAATTACTACTGTAACAAGAGTTTCGTGTTGCCGTTTCTTGCAGTCGCCGCGAAAGCTGCGGCTGTTAGCCGGAAAAAGGGACGAGCAGTGAGGAGGCAAAAAGGACGAGGGAGAGAGGAAAAAAGGAAATAAAAAGCACGCAAATGGTTTGCGCGCGCAGTATTAGATAACGGGATGGCGTTCGCTTTAAGATCGATGTTCCGCGAATGTATTCTAAAAACGATATTGCTTCCCTCGTCAGCGAGGCCCCGCCATTAATCACCCGTGCACGGCGCGCTCTTAATTGCCTGGGGCCCTCGACCTGCTTGCAGAACTACGACACTCTGAGCAAGGGCAAGAAGTCATGGAGCGTGCGGCTGGGTCTGTCACGGCAGCACCAGAGCCCGGATGACCCCGGCAAGGGTTGGGGCACCATAAGCGGCGGCAGCGTGATCTCCCGCCAGATGATCTACGGCGATCCGTGGCTGTACGGCACGGTGCGATCGTCGTCGTCGCGTTCCGGACACGACCCGCGGCCCTTCCTCACACCGCCGCCGCCGCCGGGCGCGCCGTTGCTCGTGGTATGTTCCTGCCCGGAGTTCCTCACCGGCACCGTCAGGAAACTCGGCAGCTGCCGCAAATGCGGCGGCCACCGGCTGGCCGGGGTGCCGTTCGGCGGTACTTGCCGTTTGCCGCCCTCCTCGAGGTCCAGGCCCAGTCTCGCTGGTAAGTGTCAGCCATGACATTGATGCATTCATTAAACGCAGGCTCACTTTAGATCGATTATATGTAATCTACACGGAGGAAATTTTGTAGTAAAAATTACGTTAAAATTGCATGGAAAAACAGTTGGCCCACGCATAAATCTGACTGTGCTAACCAAATTCAATAGTAAAATACTATATAAGTGGTTGCTGCAACCATCGTGCAATTGCTGAGTTACTGACGTCGCAGCAGTGATGATATCCATTTGCTTCAGCTAGAGTATATCCATGGTAAATGTCATCCTAACTGATTTTTGGTTGCCACAACAAGATTACATGCAACTACATTGATGTAGTTGATGTGCCAAATTAACTGAATCATATCAACCATACACATTATCACATTATCATATTATGAAAAAAAAAATGATTAATCTAATTAGAGCTATAGTTATTTTTCGCCTCAATTATATTTTTTTGCAGTAAAATAGTCGTAGTAACATGCATATAAGATTATTATCACACTAATATATTATAGTAAAAAAAATTTAGTTCAATTAAAAAAATAGTTTTTTCTTGACCATAATTTTTACTAATTATTTATCTATGTAATTATAATTACAAGTACCAAATATTTTGCTCAGTGCATCATACAAAAACAACTAGGATGATGCAACTACGTCGCTCATAGCTAAATATTTCTAATTATATGCATTATATCTTTTTTTCCATGCATATTTTGTTTTAGAATGTTTTCTGTAAAGCTGAACTATACTAAAGTTGTGGGATACATTATTAAAGAATTGCAATTTTTACTACAATATTGTTTCCGTTATAATCTCGGAATTTGTCAGGATCTTAGAACTTGAGATGGAATTCTACACTCGTGATTTTATTTTTGACGTCGAACGTCTTTTTATATATAGAATTATTTTCAAAATTTTTTACAGTGAAATCTCGCTCAAAATGACTGAAAAGTATTTTCACTCGAGGCGATAGTGAAAATAGTCCTGCTAGAAACCATGAGAGTGAACATTTCACTTAGATTAGAGTTCTCTGACTCCATATAAGTGAATGTTTCGACTGATTGGAGTGAACATGTTCCTCCGACAGTGGAATACATCAGATTCACTTTGCGTTTTGAGTAAGAATATTCATTTAACGAGAGTGAAGGATTCACTTTGAGAAAGTGAAAATTAACTCGAATTCAAATGACTTTACTTTCCGAAATTTCATTCCAAGAAATTTTGAAAGTCAGCTTGTTTTTCATTATCCATCTAAATGACGGCAAACACGAGTCCCTTACATTTTGAATTCCATGATAAGTTATAGATTGTCCGACGTACATTTTATTCCGATTGAGGTTGACGATATAGGAATGCGGACGAATTTATCGGCGCATTGTACGTCGATTTGCGCGATTCGTGTTTGAAATCGACGAGCGAGGGTGGGATGAGCTCGTGTTCGCCAATGATGTTCATGCTCTAATTGCGAGCTCTTCGTATTAGAGATTTTCTCCTCGTTCGCGTTCGAGATCGCGTGCATGCGCCGAAGCGCAGAAAGTTCGTAGCCACGGGGCTGGATAGTGGATTTTTACGCGGCGATGAGATGCTCTCGTTTAGTTTGCATTTAAATCGTTTCTCACCGCTTTAAGGCTGGATCGCCGCTCTTTGCGTTCGCTCGTAGTCGTTCGCGCACCGTAAAATGACGTTACGCGAATCCCTCGGATGAAACGTTAGAAACGTGGAGTTAGCGATGCTTCGACGCTAGATCTAGCGATGCTAGCCAATTGATACTTTACACTCGGTTGGCTATCACGATGGCAATCGGATAGCTCGAGATCGTGCCCTCTTTTTGTATTAAGCTATTGCCGGTGTATGGAAGGTAAACTATCCATTATATGATTATGTTCAATTTTCTTCTTTATCTAATGGAAGTATCAATCTATCTAATGGAAAGTAGAACCTATACACTTAACGCTTATATTATCTTTTTATTCCAAATTTGGGGATTTTTATATTCTAATAAAATGAGATAGACTCCGAGAAAATATCCTAAGAGACAAATTCGCGAATTGCGATAAAGATGAGTGAGAAGAGAAGAAATGCAGATCATACTTCGATTCCAACATAAACATCGCGCTCGTAAACTGCTTCGCGATCCACGGACAGCAATTGAGATCGAGCGGAAATCTTAGCTTCCGCGTTGGAAATTTAGCGTTGCCTCAGTAAATCGAGTGGACGGGAGGGGTGAGGTGGTTTCTCATGAGTACAAGACTCGTAAACTTATTCGTTAGGTGTGTTGAGGGCCTCGATCGACGATCCTTACGATCAGATGCGACGGAACCGGCTGGTGGAGCCGAGATCGCGAGCGCGCAGCATCTCGCCGCACCGGTCGTCGTCGCAGCGCGACTCTCGGAGTCAGAGCGTGATCGCACGTGCTGCGAAGGAGCGGAAGAGCACGGGCGAAGGCACCACGTCGTCCGCGAGGTCCGAATGGTTCGACAAGGAGCCAAGCACGGCGAGCTACGATGAGACCGCCGCGACGGCCAACGTGCGCAAATCCCGACCCGGTTTCGCCGTCGGTGCATCTTCGGACGATTGGAAACTGAGAGACGAAAGCACCGGGACGGAGAGCCACCCGCGGATTCACTCCAACGCGACGACGTCCGCGAGGCTGGCGCGTGTCTCAAAAAAGCCGACGAGGGACACGAGGAAGCAGTGGCTGGACGCCGGTGGTCAACAAACGTCTGAGGTGACGAGCAGTCAACGGCGGAGCAACCAGGACGAGTGGAAGGACGCGACGACGACGTCGGTCGCGGACTCCCGCCGGAGTATCCTCGAGTGCGACGTGAATCCGTATCTGTTGTTGAAGAAGCAGAAGGACGAGGACGACTTGAGCGACGATCTGTCGGACAACGCTCTGGAACAGGACGACCTCCGTGCGCCGTCCAGTCTGTTCGACCCCTCCAAGGTGAAGTCCATCGAAAGGATACCCAACAGAAGCGCGGTTGCGGCGATCGGTGGCCAACGGATCCGCGTGTTCAACGAGCCGCGGGAGATTTCGGACGACGATGATATTGACGTGCCTCCGGTTACCAGGATCCCGATTCCGAAGGTCTCGCCGAAGAGACCGCCGAGGCGGCTGAAAGAAGCTCGGCAAACGCTCAAGAGTATCCTCAAGCGCGGCCGTGTGATCGAGAGCAAACGGAAGAACGTTCTGTTCAACGTGGACAACGTGATATTCGCGCCCGAGAAGCCGTCGGAGGCGACACGACTGTCTTGGAGCCGACTCGGCAGAATTGTTAATCGCGATTCCGTCAAGGAGCAGCGGAACAATAACGAACAGCAGGCGCAAGAACAGGAAGAGGAAGAGGAGGAAGAAGAGGAAGCGCCGATCGTGCCGCAGGAGCAGCAAGAGAAGCATAACTTCATCACGATTCCGAATATCAGGGACCCGAAGGTCGACCGGATCCGGTTGAAGGAGCCGAGGATCGTGCCGGAAGTGAAGCTCGCGCCACCTGGACCCGACAGGATCAAGATAGACAAGTTTGTGCCGTCCAGGAAGCCCGATCGACTCGCGTCCAAGAGGCAGGAGGACGGCGGAGTGGAGCAACGCGCGCGGGAATTGCGTTCGTCAACCGAGAACTCTCCGTCCTCTCCGAAGACCGACGTCGGCAGAAGACAGGAGAGGATATTGCCGGAAGAAGAGAAGAGAAGATCGTCGAAGGAAAGGATAGTCCGGCCTGAGGACGAGACCGAGTTGGAGATCGAGATCGAGGAGCTGAAGGACCGTCTGCCGTGCATCGCTGTCGATGAGAAGGACCTGATCTCGAAGTCTGAAGGTAAGGACCTACTGAGAAGTTCATTGTGAGATTCTTAAGGATGTATTGCCCATATAGTTCTTGCAAGAAGTCCCCGAAAGTTAGAAATATGTTGATATTAAAAAGATATAGTATTTTTATACAATTATCTTATTCTCTAAATTTCTTAGAGTGGAATCGCGCTGAAAAATGAGTGAGAGGTGGCAATAGTTCCACCTGAAGCGATAGTGAAAATACTGCCACTCGGAATCGTGAAAGTGAACGTTTCACTCGAGTTTGGAGTAGATCTCGACTCCATACGAGTAAATGTTTCAATCAGTTAGAGTGAATATATTCCTGTAACTATGAAATATATCAGATTCACTTTTTACTTTCGAGCAGAAATATTCACTCGACGATTCAGAATTAAGTATTGACTGTATGAGTGAAAAATCACTCGAATTCGAGTGACTCGGTAGTGGTGACTCTACTTTTCGAGTGAAATTTCGCTCGAAAATTTTTATCAATTACGCATCCTGATACTCCTCTTTCATGATAGGTAATCGATATTACGATGTTTCGTTTTTCCTCGCCGTTTTCATTACACGTAAGACGACATTAGCGTCAATCGTTTCGCTTTAACCTGGCCGAACGTGTAATCCATTTGCTTCCGTAATTAGCGTCGGATTGTAATAACGACATAACTCTGTTATTTCAGAGCCGCGTTGATAATTATCAATACGGCGGAATGAGAGTTAACGAGCAATTCGTCTATTGATAACTATAACCGGCTCGCCGTTCACCGCGTGGTGCAGCGATGCGATGCGATGCGATGCGCTTATGGTTGTCCGAGGGCTAATATCCCGCATGCGGAAATTGACGATCTGAAAATACAGTCGCTAGGCGTATCGCGAGCAAGGATCTGCGGCCCATCGGCAGCGCGGATCGATAATCTCGCGTCGGTTCATCAGCGCCTATCGTCCTCTTATCAGGCCGGGTATCATCGCCGCTTACGATCCTCCTCTCCCCTGGGCGATTATGCTAATACGCGTGATTAATGGGCCGTTGAGGTTGACGCGACTTATCGGGCCATCCTTGAACTTTCGGAAAAAGGTACGCGTTCAAGGATAACGACTCACGGAGCCAGCGCAGCTGGTCTCTTTTCCTCAACGGTGCACGGATTTGCAAGGATTTCGAGGATCGCGAGCGCGAAATGGATTGGATCGTTTCAAACGGAGTTGTTCCTCCTGGTAGATCGTGCTGGTCGCCTCGTTGTTCTCGTTGCAACAATTAAAGCTATTGCAAATATTTCGCACGTGGGCGATTCGACAGCGTCGCGCGAATGCGACAAGGCGCGGCTCAAATACGCGGGTAACTGTCCTTAAGGAGCTTATTCATCAGGTGTGTACTTTCAGGGCGCTTAACGGGTGTATTGTCAGTGGCGCGTCAAGGGAGCCACTCGTAAATTAACCATTTATCGGACGAAATTACGTTTTTATGTATTTATTTCGCTATTTAGTTGATAAAGGATGATAAAGTTAATTTGAAACTAATCTTGTGATACTATTTCGGGCTGTGTTTCATTCGGTCCAATGCTACTCAAAGCATAAAACAGTAGTTTGCTAGCCTATAATTGCACCATTGCACAAAAACAACAGCGAATAATATTCTTCCTCCTATGCCGCGTTTCCTAATGTGTAACGTTTATAACTGTAAGTTTTTGATCTGAACAATATTACTTTTTACACAAAGGCCGGTATTCATAGTAGGGCTCCTAAACATCTGAATAAATGATTATCCGGGTATCCGAGATCGGATCCGATCTGAGATTTCAAATCCGCGTAATGAGATACGATGAGATGCATGAGATAAATGAGATACGAACAATTGAAACATCGAATCCGGATCTAAATTCACGGCGGAGTCGACAGCGACATGTAATACAAGATTACGATTGCCGGGAGTTTGGATTTAAAACCAGTTTGGGTAAAAATATAAAACGCAAGGATATCGTAAGTAATATTGTAAATCTCTCTTGCTATTTGTCTTTGAGCTTGGCGCTGTTAGGCGTGTTAACGGTCGGAGAGATGAATAAATATTCTTTATTATTATTATTTATTAATGTTCCCCTCGGGGTTACATGGCGCTTTTTAAGGGAGCGTACTGGTTTTAAATCCAAACTCCCGGCAATCGTAATCTTGCATTACGTGTCGCTGTCGACTCCGCCGCGAATTTAGATCCGGATCCGATGTTTCAATTGTTCGTACCTCATTTATCTCATGCATCTCATCGTATTTCATTACGCGGATTTGAAGTGTCATATTTATCCGTTATTTGGATACCCGGATACCTGGGTAGTGTCAAATCCGTTTGAATATAGCAGCCCTAATTCATAGTCCGATCTTATATTTAAGATCATCTGAAGTACATCTTGAGTTAAGATGTCATAAACCAATCACAGAGCTGTATTCGCATCTTAAGACATTACTTAAGACGGTCTTGAAATAAGATTCGACTATGAACACCGGCCAAAGTTACGTACTGGAATAATAGTCATCCACATTGCTTCTACAATAATATGACAAAGTCGTACGTGTAAAGTTGCGATATTCACAATATTAAATTCCTCATATCCGGTGCAGACGAATCGCGTGAAACTCTAAGGCCGTTTTACAATACGTCGTATGTCGCTGTCGGACGTCGAGACGCAGTCGATGGGCCAATCAGGGGATTTGTTTTTCGAGACGAGTTCTTCTGATTGGACCATTGATTGCGTTCGACATTCGACTTCGACATACGATGTATTGTAGAACCGGCCTAACTACAAATGTTCAACTGCGACAAACATTACGTGAAATTTTTGCACAATTTTGAGTATTTCTCTTTCGGTCTAAGTGAATAAACTTCTTAACGACGATGACAAGAGGAGAAAGGTTAGCTGATCCTGGCGACCCTGAACCGTATCCTCGGACCGTTCGACTCGCTGAGAAGAGTCGCGGGGCATTCGAAAGTGTATAAGGTCAGGGCTGACCGGCGTCAGGCCGGCGTCAGGCTGACAAATGATCCTGACTACTTAATCCGAAGGCACATTCCGCTCTAAGCGGCAGTTACATATTTCCAAAACATAAACGCTACACCTCTCGCAGATCTAGATGTGCACAAAGGAACACTCGGATCGTCTCTCGAGCGCGCGGCCCACCACGTCGAAGATCGGCGGGGACTCGCTGTGGTCGCTCGTAAAACTCGCGTTCATCTGTTTTTAGCGGCACCCGCAGCGGGTAGCGATAAATTAGAGACCATGTTTTTTCCACGGAGACAGAACCGCGAAGCTCTCGGTGCTTTCTAACGTTTATTCAGCTTATACGAAAGTCGCAAAAACCTGCTCTATAAATTATCTCGAAGTCACTCGAGTCAGATTTTCTCACTTGCGGTAGGGGCGCGCGTGGGAGATTGAATTTCATTCGCGGATTTTCCTCGATCTTCCACGTCAGCTGTCCACCTTAATTAGATCCTCTCGGGAAGGAGCTCAGAACCGAGCAAGGTTCGCAAGGATCTGCAAATTGAGTCCATAGCGTCGCGCTCGCGATAAGACGTGACGGGAAAGTCGCGGGAAATTAACCGGGATGATTGGCCATAAGATCAAATCCATCGACGGATTTGTTCGACTCGTCCTGACGCTGTGATCTCGAGTGGACAAAAAAGGTGCGAACGAGTGTTACGTCAGTCCGTCTTGCTAACAGAGGACGCGCGCGTTGTGCGTCAACAATCGCGTCTCCGCGCACGTCGTATTAATTGGGCGCGATTAATTGATATTCCGCGCGCGGCCACCGTCGTGGATCGTCAGTTACGTTCTCGCTTGTACTACTGTTAATAGTAGCACTCATAGTAGCAGAGGCAGCCGCGCGGCAACTAGATGCCGGATGTTACGGTGCTGCAACAGCATTGCTAAGTATTCAGGATGTTGTATCGCCGGTGTGTCTATAATGTCCGATGCCGACGCGGCATTTTTCGGGTATCTCGACGTGTTTACTCGCGATACGTCGAGCGATCGAGGTGACTTAGCATGTAGCTCATCCGTTATGCCTCAATAATCGAGCACGGCGATAAAGTTCGCTGCAAGCCGGCTGCTGCCGGTCTCGTGGAGACGTCGAGGATCGTTTCTAGGTGCGTGCATACGCAATGAAATTGCAACTTTGCGACTGACATAAGCCAACGCTGAATCTGACGCATCAAGGGTCCCAGGCAGCGCAGTCTAGTAGATGATGTCTTCAAAACGTCCAGAAGACATCCTATTTTTTTTTCTATTTTCTTTCAGATGTCTTTGGGACGTCTTTAAGATTTCTGGTTCCACCGCGGGATTGATAATGTCAGAAGCGAGAAAACGTCCACAATTCTGCGTGCCATTTTCAAATAAAAAAATATTTATATGAAAGAACATTTCTGATTGCTCTTTTGAGTGTACTTGCAAAACGTTCCGACAACTATCCTTTTCCCTTGACAGTCTATAAGTAGCCTTAAAATGAACACAATCTTCCTCTTTGACCTACCTTTCCTCATGATCTTGCCACGTTCATTTTACCGCTATTTATTAACTCGAGTCGACATCTTATTTCCGACCTCGATATTTCATTTAACGTCTACTTTGGTAATCTGAAATCTACTTCTTTTGATTGATATTCAAGCTCCTAGCTTCGCCAAGATTTTCTCTTTTAGAATCTGCAAGTGACATTTTGTACGTTTTTGCCATCTAGAAGCGCTAAGTAGGATATCAGTTCCTATGTGTATCACACGTACACTAATCCTTAAATTATACAGATTATACTGATATACAGATGTCAGAGAATTCAGCTCTAAAGTAGGACTAAAATTTCGATTCGGGAACGAATAGTTTTTGAAACATTTTACCGCTATGCTCAAGCGGTCTGAAATGTTCTTTTATTCAGATATCTTTTTATTTGGAAATGGCACGCAAGAATTCTCAGCGTGCCATTTCTCGTTTCTGACGTCACAATCCGACTTGGCCATGCCGAGTATATTCAGGA